TTATTGAAATGAAGAAAAATTATTTAATTTTTATAGATAAGTTATAAATTATTTTAGATTTTAATTAAATTATGTTTTTTTTTTTAAATTTTAATTTCTCATTTCAATATTCTCATACATGTCCATAATTTGTTATGGATTAAATACTAAATCCAAATATCTTCTTTCGCAATTATAAAATTTCTACGTCAAATATTTCATAAATATTTAACCATACAGAAATTAAATTAATCAACTCTTAACCAACTAATCAAATTTAATCATTTAATTTCTAAACAGTCAAATATCAATCATTTTGGTATTAAAATTCAGAATTTTTTCAAGAAGTGAAATTTATTATTTTTACTTCTAAATAACTTATTTATTAATCCAATCGTTTACAAACAAACTTTTTACAAAATTTTATTATTCTCAAAATATCCGAGAAATCGAAACAAAAATAAACGTAAATAATTAAAATACATAGATTGTACGATTGTCTAACATTTATTGCCCAAGTACACGATAAAGTACATTTTATTTACACGGGATGAGAGAGGGTAGAACTGGCAGTGTGGTCACAAATGCAAAAACTAACATATCATCATCTTACAGTTTAACGTATTTACATGTCCCTGAGGCTTATTCTACACGTTATCATACACACGCTATTATTTTACAATGTACCACGTATAATCCTATGCGTCGAAAGCAACGACCTGTAATGCTTTACAGATCACTTTTAGGCATTACAACGTTCCATTATATTACACGCAACGAGAATCGTTGCCAAGCTGGGCTATATGAACGATAATGCACACAGCTTCGTTTCTTCTTTGTTCTTCTTTTCTTCTTTATCTCCTTGATTAAGGCTGAAACATGATCGCCAAATTGGTGTTCAAGCAATGTCAACGTTAAGAATATGTGTAAAGGCGGATTATAGTCTCGGTTCGCTCTACTTGTCTGATCACTACCGATCTTTCGTACGTTGACACGAAGAGAATGGAAGGAATGCATGATTCTATTTAAATCACCATTAAGTCATATTGATCATTTTTTTGTTTATAAATTTCGAAATTTTATTAAGTTAAGTGCATGTGAAATGTCATTTATAATTATTAAATCTTAATTATTATAATATTGTGATCTTTGAATATTTTAAAAGTTATAAATATTTCCTAATTTTTTGTTTAATTAACATGTAACTTAATTACTTATTATTAATGTATAGGTAAATTTTAATCGGATTGAGATTTATATTTAAAAAGCCAATCGTTGTAAATTGTATTCTCTGAAAATAATTCACGTAGTGCAAGAATTCCTTTGTCGTTTAAACCTTTAATTGACAAATCTATTAAGTAATTACTCTAGTAAACTCTTAATTGAAAAATTAAATGACTACTTTGGTAGTTTAGCGATCCAATTGATTTATCATTACTTAAAAGTTTATAGTAATTTGAACAACTTAAATGTTTCTGATTGGCTTCTGAATCTTTCAATTTAACTAACTTACAATTTTAAATTTTTATTTTTATTGGAATTAGAAAAGTTATTGTATTTTAAGTGTCAGTTGAATATTGTCTTTTTATCATTGTCATCAATTATATTCACTACAAATTATAATGATAGTTACTAATAGTTAAAAGTTACACTTTTTTTGTCAATTGTTATAAACTATTGAATTATAAAATATTTTGAAAAAGAAAAAATATTTTATTTATTACACGTAAAACAAACGAATTAGGATAAAAAATCTGATTAAATAATTTCTTTAAAAATTTATCTAGATTACTAAATCAAGCAATCTAGATATATTTAATATTCAAAGATTTGTTAAATTTTTATAGATCAAATAAAAGAACTATTTCGATTAAATGTATAATATTAATTAAAAATAAATTTATTCCAGAAAATGACATTTCATATGCATTATTCTAATAATATATTATATGAGTAATACATAATTTTTCAAAAATGAAACTATATTTATATTAACAAGAGATGATCAATTTGACTTTCGTGTAGTTGATTTTATTGGTTAGGGTACGTTAAAATATTACCCAGATCATCATCCTTATTAATCATATCGGTGTTACTTTGGTTATTCATTATTGTTAACTATTGGATACAGAACTTGCAAACGCATTTATAAAACGATGGAATCGTTGGAAGGAAGTGAAGTCACAGTTTCTCTCTCATTGTTTCATTCATTTCCACTTGTATTGATTACCGAAATGTAAATGTAAATAACGATGATAAAGGATGAAGTGTTTTTGAAATAGATAGTTGAACTTTTGAATTGTGATAGTTGATTATCTTTGCAATGGACAAACTTATTGCGTATGCAGGCATAGAAACTCTTTGATATCTGAAGCAATGAATTTTTGGTCGTGACATGATGCTTTAATCTTTATTATGTAATGTAATTTTTTTATATTTATTTCTATTTTTTTTTTTAATAATTAAATTAATTTTTAAAATTTGAAAAAGGATACAACAAAGGATTATATTTATTAAATACTTTTAATATTATTAATAATTTAAATTAATAATTTAATCTTATAAATAAATAATAATTTAAAATAATTATTCCTATAAATAAAAGTTTGTTATTATTTTTTAATATATATTTAATTTTTATAATTGAATATTTTATGTAATTTAAAATTAAAATTTAAAATTAAACATTCTTAATATTAATAATAACTTAAAAATATATTTATAATTCGTGAAAATGTTATTATTTGTCGTTCAATGATTAATTATTTTAAATTGGTAGGATAAGATTATTTTTTTAATATAAATAGAATAAAGTAAACTATCTACTTCAGAATCACTTTATATTACAATCGTAATTTAATACGAATTGAATGTTTCATTGATTGTGTCACGTCAATTAATTTTTTTGTAATTCTTTGAAATGAAGTAAAAATAATCTATACTCGTCTTGACGAGTTTCTAATATACGATAATATTAAAACAGAAAAGTCAACGATAGAATTTACAAGCTTTGTACAATAAAAAAGAATCGATTTGTGATTTTCGATTCATTCTCTGAAACTAAAATAAAATTTTTTATTCTCCTATAAATATATAACGTGATTCGGAATCAATATTACGAACCTTGTTGCGTGTTATAAATCATATGTTCTGTTCGTAATTGAATAATCGAAACAATTATTGTCGTAAAGCATGTCGCTACACGAAGAAAATGATATGTACTTATATGTAGATTAGGTACAAGCGTAACACACATATACATAAAAATAAAAACTCTTATCGAGATTTTTCATTTTAAGAAAATATGAATTAAAAACGGATACTTTCAACTTAAAATTAATAAATATCAATAACAATATCAAACAATAATTAATAAACATAATTAATAATTAATTAATATACATAAATAATTAATTAATAACAAATAAATAATTAATAAAATATTAAAATTATAAATTACGCGAATTAGAAAATATAAATTTTTCTTAAAATTTATAAATATCACATGATAAATAATTGCACGAATAATGTTATAAAAAAATTTACAAATTCGCATAAAATTCAATAACGAATAAATTAAACATATAATCCGTGAAAGTTCTTCAGATTTTGTATCACATATTATCGTTAAGCGTTATTATAAATTATAAAGAAATGTAAAAAAATATATTTGCTCGATATCATGATAGGCCTTATGTACGATCTAGAATTTACAAATTAACAAATAACAGTGTATCGTAAATCAGAAATTCCTATAATATTTCTCGCAAAGCCTTAAAGATAGAAATTAAATTAAATTTAAATTAAATTAGATCTTTGACTTGTAATATGAATTATATTAATTACAAATATAAATATATTTTATTTATATATCTCTTATATATCGTTAATTCTTGATACTATTTTCTTGATATACGGGATTTAATGTGAAGAAAATATGTGTTATAATTATTATTTCGAATTATTTATAAAATATAATTTAATTAGATGGAAGAAGAAACATAGCAAATTCTGTTATTCTAAATAAATGCATTGTCAGTTCAAAAGCTATCTGTAATATTATTCTCAACCCTTTAGCTGCGATGTACGTCATTGTAAAATTATTATAGTATGATACGGTATTAGACGTGTATTAAATTTATAATAATTTTTCCAAATTTTTTTTCTCCAAATATTTTTATTAAATTTTTTCCAAGTTTAAATTCAAATAAGAAATTAAGAATATTTCCATTATTATTTTAATATTTTTACAAAATTGCTAAATAGAAATTAATAAATACAATTAGAAATTAATTAGAAATTAATAAATATAAAAAAAACTTGTTTTCGAAATTTTCCATGAATTCGTCTCGATATCTATTAGCTGATAGACAAAATAATCATTGTGTTACATACAAAAAAATTAAAAGTTTTAATTAAAGAATTTATTTAAAAAAATCAAATATTTTGAAATTATATCAAAAAAAATTTTAATCGATCTACTAATAATGAAAATAATTAAGATAATTTTGTAAATTTTATCTTTAAATTACAATAATATAAAATTCAGTAATTAATATTACACTAATCTTCAAAAAAACATAAATTAATATATAAATATCTAACAAAAAAGGATCTTATAAAACACGACTGTCTTTTATCTATCATATCTATACTTTCCATAAATAGACAACATTCTTCTCGTGCCATATACTCGCGCTAAAGGGTTAAAGAACGAATGGAATCTTTCGTATAAGAGGAACGCGCATTCTCTCAAGCGTGCGCTTCGTTCTAGGCGATCTTGTTCTTAGAAGACACTTTTTTTTTCTTTCAATCTCTCAACACGTTTCTTTCCAAATCCATGGAATGTTCTGGCGAACAAGAATGTAAAGAGAAACATCGAACCGACTGGTCCTTCATTAACATTAGAGTCGCAATCCGGTAATAAATAATTACCTATATTTTCGCGACTAGCGACCCTGAAAACTCATCTGAACGCGAATTGATCAGTTTCATACGTAAAACTGAGATCACAGAAGGGTCTACGTTGACATACCACCGGCCAATATGGCGGTGACGGTAGTAATTCCAAGATTGGTCAGCAGATGGCAGTGGAATAGGGACGAGGCGGACGAAGAATGGAAATCGATCTGCTCGTCCTCGTTCTCGATCATTTTCGTCATCGGTTCGTCCTTCATGCCGGTCGTGTTCCTCTCGTGATTGTGATCCACCTTCCAACTCTTCTTCGAGTCTCGTCTGGTGCTTGGTCTACGCATCGTTGGCGATCTATCGATTCCTGAAAAAAAAAAAAAAAAAAAAAAGGAAATTGACGTGTTAAAAAGCACGTTCTTGGCCGCGATTCGGAATTTACGATGCGACCACGGCCGCGCAACCGATCAAATGACCGCAACTCTCGGGGAGAAATATCGCTTCGATTCGAAATTCGCTTGGAATCGAATCGGGAGATCTTGTTTCACGATTGGGAAACGATTTGTACTTCGATGCGGTGATTAAGAACATACGTGTGCTTTTAACGAATCGCGAATTATAATTTGTGATGCTTTAATTTGCGTATAGGTGAATGTTGATCGATTGTTTATCAAAATTTTATGAAATTTTCGAGATAGATTGGAAATAGATTGATAAATAAAGCTTAAATGTTTAGCATGAATGTTCGTGATTTGTATCTGTTGTATTATTTATTGAAATTTTATTAAATATTTTGGAAATAGATTGTTAAAGTATTAAATATAATGATGAAAATATTAATACAGTTGTCTTATTATGATTTAACTTAAAATTTATGTAAAAGGTATAAGAATATATCTATACCTCTGAATATACGTATGTATACGTATATATGATATATTTTATATTAGAAAAAAATAAAAAAAAATAAAAATTAATTTTTTTATAGTATAGGAATATATAATAGTTACTCAAATTGGAAATGTTATTAGTTTGTAGATTTATATGTTATTAGTTGATTAATTATATTATAATTGATAATATTATAATTTTTGTTAACTCGTTATTTCTCGAAAAATTTCGTCAATCATTTTTCAAAAAATTGCTCATCTATTTCTAATAGTTTCTATAAACTTTCCCAATATTTAATTTCTTTTCATTAAAAAAGTTTGATAAAAGCTAGAATAAATGACAATGGGATTATATTCTTTGAATAGGATAGATGAATATTCCATTTGAGATTCAATATTTTTTTACCTCTTCATCGATACACAAGATTTAAAGTATTCTTGTTCTTTTTTTTATCGATTAATTCCGGATATTTATTAATTCATGTATTTTAAATTTAACTAGAATTATTATTCTTATAAGTGTATTTTATTATTCGTATATTTTTTTGCTCTTAGAGGTTCAGGTATAATAATTTTCTTCTTTTCGTTATACGATTAATTAAACAAACAGATTAATAAATCAAAATAAATTTTTTAAATCTTTCTTCAAAATTTTTACTTTAAATTTTTAACATTTTTCCATTTTTATAAAATATTATTTTTTCGTCGACCAATAAGAAATTCAACATTGGCATAAACAAAATCAATAATTTAATTTTAAATGAAAAATAACTTTAATCAAATTATCAAATTTAGCTTCAAACGTTTAATAATTCAAATTCTCGATATTTTCATAAAATATTAGATTTCTCGAAATTCCTCGATATTATAAATCAATCTTCGTTCTTAATTGATCCAACTTATATTTATCAAAAAGAATGATCAAGAGTTTAAATCGAGAATTCCATCATGTTTGGCTCGAAGTGTGTGATACATAGAGATGAAAAGTAACCTCGTATCTCTCACAAATCCATATCCCAAACGCAGATCTATGGACTGACGTATCCCCTATTTGTTCCACATAAATTCAGCATTATGTACGATACATCGTTACTTGATCAATGTTGGTCGAATACGCCATTAGTTCATCTATGGCTTTAACCTTAGCTTAAGCTTCATACTTGGATCCACAGTTCATTGTTTGATACCTTCAGAGATAGAATTTACAGCTTTGTACTTGAGCAATTGTGAACTTCTGCGTTTGACGTATTTCTAACTTGTGAGAGGGGGAGGGAGGGGATGAATTGTTATGACAGTTGTGTTTGGGTACTTAAAACAAACGAGACACAATGATATTACGAAAAAGACTCTCTCTTTTGTGTAAGGATTTTTATTTATAGAGAGTTGTTTTATTATTTTATCATACATTTGTTATTTTATTTTTCGTTTTCCATTAAATATTAATAAAAAGAAATTAAATTCTATATATACAAAGAATTTACTTCAAAATATTTTTAGTTAATAAAATTCTTCAATGTTAAATGAAAGAAAAAATTAAATAAAATTGAAATAAAATTTATCTTAAGGAAGAAATCTTGATTCGCTGAAAGACTTGATTCCATGACAAATATTTGCCCGTATAACGAAATGCAATTGAATTCTCCGATGCTCGTCCAACGTTCTCGGTTGATGAATAAAATAAAATTCTTTAGTGAAGTACTAGAATCGTAACCTACTTGTTCGATTGCAACTAGCAACGCATTTGATTGAATATTGATTCTGTTCCTATTATAAGAAAACTAATTAAGAGAACGAAGAAGAATGTTTTTTTTCAAATTCATTAAAAAAATATACACGTATAAAATATTTTATGAAATAAAAATACTTCTCGAATTAAAAAATATTCCAGAAAAAAAATTTACACATAATCCAATTTTAAATTGAAAGCATATAGGAAAAAATCATCGACAGCTTTAATATAAAATATTCCTATGTACGTATCACGATTCAAATCGAAACTCGATACCGTGCGATAGAAAATATAAAAGAATTTCGTCGAAGAAAATCGTGATTTAGGGAATAACGCAATAACACGTGGCGACAAATAACGAAGGAAAGATTTCGATTTCCAGAGTGCGAATTGCCGAATCCATTACCCACAAGTCTATTGTCCCGACGCGACAAGAGCCACTGATTCGAGAAATAACACTGCATACGTGTTCAGTATCATGGAGGTCGGCAAAGGAAGAATGCTTCCATGTCAATGTAGCATTGTAATCCTATTACACTACCACAGGATATCGATAAGCGCTTTTGATTGAGCCAGTCTACGTTAATCTGCCGTCGTATCCATTGATTTGATAAGCTTGTTTGAAATCCGGTCCATCGGTGTGGCAGTATATACACCAAAGTAATAGCATTAAACCGTATCTTTAGTACTCGCGTGTATTGCGATACAGGAAAACGGTATACCGCTAGTATAATCTCTGGAAAGAGTATTCCTTCCCGTTCTACTTTGAAATCTACTTGAAATCTTATTTTCTTTTGACCGTCTATGATATTTTTGATTTGATCGTATAATATTGATAGCGATAATAATATTATAAGATAGTGAATATTATCTAGATACTAGTATACTAGTAATGGAAGTTTTTATTTAATTAGCATAGCATTGATAAGTACTATACATTAATTTAAAATTTTGAATGATTGGGATGCAAATTTTTGTGCAAAAGTAGATTTTGATGTTTAAGGAAATAAATCAGATCTTTGTTTAAACTCTATTTTTTTAGTGTTTCTAGTTTAATAAAAATTTTCGTATAAAAATCCGCAGTCCAGCCATTTATGATTAGAATATTCCTTCCCGTTCCACTTTGAAATTTTATTTTTTTTTTCTATAATATTTTTGATTTGATCGTATAATATTGATAGCGATAATAATATTATAAGATAGTGGATACTATCTTGATACTAGTATAGTAGTGGAAGTTTTTATTTAATTAGCATAGCATTGATAATAATACTGTATATTAATTTAAAGTTTTGAATGATTGGGGTGCAAATATTTGTGCAAAATTAGATTTTGATGTTTAAGAAAATAAATCAGATCTCTGTTTAAACTCTATTTTTTTAGTTAATAAAAATTTTTGTATAAAAATTCACAGTCCAGTCATGATTTATGATGATATGCTTTTTAGGCAACAAAGTTTTAATTTCCTTTACTAAATTAATTAATTCTAGAATGTTGTTGCCAGTTAAAACTTAGATGGCTTCTAATTACTATTATGAAGTAATCATAATTTTACCCTTAAATGATGTATGAGAAATATTTTAGTATCTTTAATCTAAGTTGAAACTTATAATTATCGGAATTTATATAGCTTCAGATATTATTTTTCATCAGAAAATAATAATAAATTACCATAACTTCGTAATTAAGGATTAAATTTTTAAACGAATTTAAAACGATATATTATAAAGGATTTATAATTATTACTACTTGATATCCATCTTGCATCCATCAATCATAAAGAAAAGCTCGAAAAGTATGCGGCGGTAGGTTTGTGGCGGTACGTTCCTCGTAATAAACTCGGAATTCTAATTAAGACTTGGAAGACTTTAAAGTTTTCTTCTTACTTCTCAACAGCAACTGACAGTATCATAAACCGTGGAAAAGCGTAGAAAACTGGAAAACTTGTGGAATCGTTGGCGGTTCGTTCCCCCAAATTAAACACGTGTGCTGCAAACATCTCCCTTTTATACGCATTCGTAATGCAAATAACACCGAATGAAACCGAACACATCGTTCTAACGACTTGCACAACCAGCTAGCTATCACGTTGCACATAAATCAAACGCGCGCTCATCTAAGTGACTTTAAATCACTCGCGGGCCAAAGATCCAATCGGTCAATCAATAAACCAATCTGCATCTCGATGTCCATCGAACGGGACAGCGCATCGTTCACGTAACGGATAGTCGCGGCGCGGATGATAACGCGCGTTATCACCGATCTGTCCATTAATAAAGATGAACGCGCGGAATCTCATCAGCGACACAAAGTCCGGCGCAAAGGATTTAATGCTCGTCAAATCGCGCGCTTGACCACGTGCCACCGGTCAAAACAGCTTTACCTGGCTTGAATAATCTTTGGTATGACATTTTTGATTTTCCTTTGTTACATCTCATCGTATTTAACGGGTGGAATCCAGAAATGTAAGTTTTTAACGTTGGAAAATCGTTACACGAAAGTTACGAAGGTTTAAAAGGTAATTTAATATTGGTAAGCTTTTGGATGCTTCGTATCAAAGGATAGAGTTATTAATTTAATTTCACTTGGAATGTAGAAAGGATTTTAGGAATGTAGTTTCATTATCATCATATTATCGTAAATATGTAATCTAAAGATGTTTATATAGAAGTTTAAATTGATAGAAATTGAAGATGAAATTATGAAAATCCGCGCTATTATAAACTTTTATTAAAAAAAACTAAATAA